GAAGTGTTTAGAAGATGTGTCGACATGGAGCTTAGGGACGCGGTTTGGTAGTGGACGTGGCAGTGCTGGGTTAGGGGCTGCGCTCGGTGACTTCCGAGGCCTTCTCCAGCCTGAATGATTCTGTGACTCGGCGAGGCCGGGCCCCGCGGGGCTGCCAGCCCGGCTCTCATCTCTAGGTGGTGCTCTGAGGCCGCCGATAGCCGCGCTTCCCCCTCGCCGCGCCGCTCGGCCTCCTGCGCCGGCGTGCCGGGGCTGCCGGGGCGGGACCCCCATCCCGGGGCTGCCGGGGCGGGACCCCCACCCTGGGGAGCGCGGCAGGAGGAGAATCCCTGCAGCCCTTCCTCCCGAGAGCCGGCTGCCATCCCAGCTCCTGCCGCTGTGACATCCCCGGCCGGCCGCGGGGCCTGCTGCGAGCAGAGACGGCAGGCCCTGTCTCCATTCTCGGCTGCCCCTCTGTCTGCCCAGCGAGGCTGCCCCGCTGCCCGACACCACCCCGCTGATGTTTTCAGCATCCCAGCTCGCTGCATTCCCTGCTCTGTCCCTCCTGCGCGTGCAGCTGCAGCCCAGCCCAGCTTGGCGGATCCAGCGCAGCGCCGGGCCTGCGGGCTTTTCCAATAGTGATGCTCCATTAGGGCCCAGCTCTGCTCTTACCGCGGGCAAAAAAGCCAAAGCCCCATCGACTTCGCGAGGGCAAGCCCTTAATGGCCTGGGAAGACAAGACTTTTTTCCTTTTTTCCCTTTTTCCTTTTTTCCTTTCTTCTTTTTTCTTTTTTTTTTTTTTTTTCACTCAAAACTGTGGCCACTTAGTATTGCTGGTCCAAAAGCTGCAAGAGGCCCTCCTGCAAAAGCAAAGAAGAGCTGTTAAAGCTCAAAGAACACAGAGGAGGCATTCTTGTGGAGGTCATCAGCCTGTGCACAGCTGCTGTGGCAGTGCCATGTGCCCTATCCAGTCCTGGGCAAAACTTGGACAAAACCAAGCTGTTTGAAACCTAACATATTTGTTCAGAAGCTTAGACATTTCCAGCACCATTTCCTAATCATGGAAATCCAAACCTATTTTCTCCTCAATTGAGATTATTGTTGTGTTTCTTAAAAATATTTTTAGTTGCAGTGTGTATCAAAATGTTTTGCTGAGCAAATTTTGTGTGAGTTGAAAGGTGCCAATGATGATTTCTTTTCAAATGGGTTGTCGAAAAGTGTCACCAAAAATAAAACATGAAACAAATTTCTCAAGTGTCATTTCAAACAGCAACATTCATTTGAGAGCTGGCAAGAGTGACAACAGCATGGTTAGTCGTCATGGGATAGAGGATCTGAACCAGTGCCTGGATCTTATTCATAGGAAAAAAGTCCTTCCTCTCCCCATTATCTTTCTGTTATTTGAGTAGCTTTCAATAATGAGCCAAATAAGATGTTAAGAAGTAAGACAGGAAAGAAATATAGATTGTGGTTGAATGAACAAAGAAGCAGTGTCTTCCTCTTGAAAAGCAAGCTGCCAGTCCCTCATGATTAGAGGCAGGTCTTAGGGAAGCAGTCCCTCCATCAGATCCTGGAGGAGGGAAGGACCCCAGGGACATCATGCCCTCTCCTGCATTAAAGGTATCTTCTCTGCAGAGCACAGTGCAAGGAGGTATCACCTACCTGATGCTCCACACACTATGTGCAAAAGGCAAAGTACCTGGTGTGTTTACAGTTATGAATGGCCTGGACAGCTGATTTGCAGAATCCTTAAAAACGTCAAGCCTTCTGCGTAGCTAATGGCTTTCCAGGATGGATTCTCCTGGTGGCTTTTCACAGGCTGCATAAAAGAGTCCCCAGCACACAGCCAGAGAGGCACTTTGTTGAGACACTTGCTGCATTGTGTGGCATTTTTTGTGAATGTGCTTGGTGTTGATGGCATTTTTTGTGAATGTGCTTGGTTTTATGGGATGAAGTTGTGGTGTAGGATGGACTGTGCCCCCATGTGTGGCATGCACATGTAGGCACCTGCAGTGTGTACTTGGGCACGAGTCCTCTGGGGTTCCAGAGTGTGCAGGTGCAGAACGCCTGTGCAGAAGGACATCCTGCTGCTGCTGTGTACCAGCAAACCCTGTGGGCACGTGTGCAGCTTGCAGGAACTGACGCTGGAGTGGCTGCACCATGTTGTTGGAGGGGCTGTGTGTGGCACCAGCATACAGCTGCATGAGGAGTGTCTGATAGGCAGAAACTTGCTCACCACTTCTGTTTTCCTGCACTGGCTGTTCCTCTCCTTCCCTCTGCACCCTCCCCTCAACCCCCTTCTCTCTCTCCTCTCTAATGATCTGACAGCGCTGAAAGCTTTCTTGCAATTTTATTATGAACAGCAGGGGTTTAGCTGGGTATTGTTCAGTGCCTCACTGTCTTCTCCACCATGATGCCAAGCATGACATGAAAACATCCAGCAGGTTCAGACATATGGAGCGGGCTGGAGCCATTATGGCTGAATGATGCTTGTTCCCTCAGATTGATTGCAATCTTGTCCCATTTTTCCCACAAGAGGCCCCCAGGTGAAGGGAGGGCTGGCAGTGCTGACCTGTGTGCTGCCCCAACCACTCCAGCTGTGCATGCCCTGGGGCACCACCCCTGCCTGGCACCTCTGCACACTCGCTCCTTGGGGATTGATGGGTCTCCCAAGAGCCAAGGGGACACTTCATGCCCACCAAGCACTGCCACCCGCCTCCAAAGGATGCTGTACATCTGTGAGGGGGTGCCCAGCTATGAGGGTTCCCTCTCTCCTGGAGGCCACCACCCCATGTGGACACATTCATGTGTCCTGATTGTCCGCGTCCTCGCACGCAAAGTCCTTCTCTCTCGGTCCATTAGTTTGTTTCCATGGCCAGTGGCAGGCACACGACTCTGAAAGCTGTATTAAAAGCCAGGTCAATACCAGCCCCTGCTTATTCCCCCAGGGGAAAATAAGTAAATAATGAAAGGAGGGGTTGACTTCATTTCCTATACCAGCAAACTCTTGAATTTAGTGCTGAGAGAGGCACCCCAGTTCCCAAGTGGGTAGCATTGGAGCTCTGAGAAAAGGCAGGTCTGCCTAAGCACCAGCAGAACCAGGAGGGATGGGGACCACTCAAAACCCAGTGAATCCATCATTTCAGTGTAGGCTTTGAGGCAAACTGCTCTGGCAGATGGGCTCTGGAGCCAAGGATCACTGCAGCAGCGAGGTAGAGGTTGAGGTGCTAATGCCTTCTCTGCCTCAGTCTTTCACATGAGACCAGTTGTCCTTAGGGTACTCCATGCCCTGAGCTGGAAGACAGGGACAGGGAACACAACAAAGCCCCATAATGCAGGAGGGAATGCTCAGTGACCTCCTACACCACTTAGACACTCCCAAGTCTGCAGGGCTGGATGGGATCCACCCAAGAACATTGAGAAAGCTGGTGGAAGAGCTCACCCAGCCACTTTCCATCATTTATCAACAGTCCTGGCTAGCCAGAGAGGTCCCAGGGGACTGGAGGTTAGCCAGTGTGAAACCCATCTACAAAAAGGGCTGGAAGGAGGATCTGAGAACTACAGGCTCATCAACCTGACCTCAGTGCCAGGAAAGGTCATGGAGCATTTCACCTTGCCATCATACAGAACATGTGGCACAACCCAGGAATCAGGCCCAGCCAGCATGGGTTTGGGAAAGTCAGGTCCTGCTTGCCCAGCCTGATCTCCCTCTATGACAAAGTGACCTGCCTAGTGGATGAGGACAAGGCGATGGGTGATGTCTACCTGCACTTCAGTAAAGCCTTTGACACTGTCTCCCAAAGCATTTGTCCTGGAGAAATTGGCTGTCTGGAGAAATGGAATGAGTGCACTGTTCATTGGGTAGAAAACTGGCTCCATGTCTGGGCCCAGAGGGCGTTGGGGAATGGAATTATTCTGGGAATGGAATTATTCCAGTGAATGGAGTACACCCAGGCAGGACAGCTGTTCCCCCTCAAAACCTACATCCTAAGATGAGAAATGACCATGTCTGGGCCTAGGCACATCTTGTGAGTCTATTTATGCTCTTTCTCAAATGCACTTCCATATAACCTCACTTTCTCTTCCTCTTTTCCCCTTCCATCTTCACCATCTGCCCTCTGTGTCTGCTTCTTCCTCTCAGTCCTCCTATTTCTTTCCCTGCCCTTCTGCTTCTTCCCCTCTTCCTTTTGCTTCTTGAACCAATTCCAAGTTGATATGCTTTTTTCTGCTTTGTAGATCAGGGATTAGGTGGGACATAACTTCTTCAGCTATTCCCCTCCACAGCACAGCTACTGGGTGCCCAAAGCAGCTTCCTGAGCTCCCCATTTGTTTTTCTGTCCTCGTATCATCTGCGGTTTTGAAGGGGTGATTCTGCTACTCCTGAAGGAAAATGCTCATCATGTTTTCATCTCTTTTGTGAAATGACAACAAAGTGATGTTACGGGTCTAGCTTTGGTTGATGTTTTCCCTCATCCTCCCTTCACTTGCCTCTAGCACAAAGAGACGCTTTGGGTTTTTTCATGGGGTTTTTGAATCTAGAGCAATGTCCAAAGCAAATAGTATTGCTTGTCCAATCCTGCTGGCAATTTTAATGCAGATTATTCCCTCCATACACACACTGGTATGACCTTCTCCCTGAGCAAATTCTCTGAGCCTTTTGTTATAGGTCTTTACCAGAGAGGCACAGAACAAGAGAGCCCTCGTGATGGAGCTTCCAAGGTCCAATGCCATAAAAATAGCAAACACCAGCCCTAATAACCCTCATCAGTCTCTACACCAGGCTGCAGCTGTGGAGTCTGTCCTTTGCTTCCAAACCTCCCCTTGGGATATTAGACTTTATTAAAAATAAATAGTTACAAATTCTGTTTTACAGCTGATGGCATCAGGGAGAAGAATGGAGGAGGCAAAAGGAGCAAGTGGAGGGTCTGCTGTCCAGTCAGGTCACCTGTCTGTCATCCCAGCTGTGCTGCACCAGGGAGCAGTCTTGAGTGTGGTAAGCACAGGGCCCTGCCTCCTCTCAGGAGAGGAGCAGGACATGTTTTTCAAGAGGACTGGGAGAACTGGATCTGAGTCCATGGAGCCGAGCTGCTTCTGGAGGTGACAGACACTGAAAGCCAAGGAGAGTGCAGAGCAGCCGGTGTAGAACGTCCTTGTCTCCTAGCTTGGCGTTTGCCGTGGAAAAATCGATTGCAGTTCTCCTTCTCTTTTATATACAAAATCATGTGCAACAAGCAACAAACATGCAAGTAAACTCCTCCCTTGTGATCCTTCCCTGCTCCCTCCAAGAGTCCCAAACTCTCCCTTCTATCCTCATCTGGTCAGTGCTTAGGTGTTGCTCCTCTCCCGGTGACAGCGATGACCCTTGCCAGCCATGGGGCCTACCCACAGTGAGAGGTGACAAAGTCTGCTGTTGCCTCAGCAGCAGAAACACTTGCTGTGGGTCCCAGTCTGTCCACCGAAGGCAGGGACTCCTGCCACCTCTCCAGAGACAAGAAACCAGGCCTGCTGCCCTCCTGTCTCTGGGCAGGAGAGGGGTTCTAGCCCAAGCTGCACACCCAGAAAGAGCAGTGTATCCTCACTCCTCTCCCAGGCATTACGACCTCACGAGAAAGAGAGTATATCCGAGCAGCTCCAGGCCTTGGTGTATCTGGGGGCTGAGAGGCAATCATGGGAGGCATTATTTGGTGGTGAAAGGACTTATCCAGTGTATGGGTACGGAACAGAGGAGACTGTGGGCAACGGGTGTGGAATGGGGAGGCTAGAGGAGTTAGATGGCTGACTCCCTGCGGTATGAGATTGTATCTAGAGGCAGAGTTGCCTGGAGCCGCTCCAGGTCCAGGTGGCTTCCAAAATCCATCATCTGGATGATACCTCCCTCCTCCTTGGTGTTGCCCCCTAACACTACACCCACTTCATCATCATCTTCGTCTTCATCTTGACTGACAAGTGCCAGCTCATTCTCGTAGCAGAAGGCACTGGGAGGTGGTGGAGAAGGTAGGATGGTCATCTTGCTCTCTTGCAGCTCCCGGGCTGAGCAGCAAGGTGTGCCAGCTACCTCATATGTCTTGTGAAAGCGCGAGTAATCCACTTTGTAGTGGTTCTTCTCCTCAAACACAACCGGTTCAAAGCGATGACCCCAAAGGATTTCGCTAGCAAGGTAAGAGCTTCGTGCTTGTGTGGTCATGGCTGTGGCTTCCACCATCCCCTCCAGAATAACCACAATCTCAAAATTCTCCGTCTCCAGTTCTTCCTTGCCAATCCCATAGAGGGGGCTCTCCTCATCAATCTCATGAACAATAATAATGGGTGAGACCAAAAATATACGATCCAGACCCACATCGTAGCCCACGTTTAGGTCCCGCTGGTCCAGGGGGAGGTATTCCCCTTCCTCCGTCATGTAGGGCTTGATGAGCTGGGCTCGGACATGGGCCTCCACGATGTGACTCCTCCTCAGGTTGCCCACCCTCCACATGAGACACAGTTTGCCATCCCGCACGGAGATGACGGCATGATGGCTGAAGAGGAGGGTCTGGGCCCGCTTCTTGGGCCTTGCCATCTTGGCCATGATGGTGCCAATCATGAAGGAATCAATCACGCAGCCCACGATGGACTGCACCACAACTGCCATGATGGCCAGCGGGCACTCCTCAGTCACGCAGCGGAAGCCGTACCCGATGGTTGTCTGCGTCTCCACTGAGAAAAGAAAAGCCCCCAGGAAGCTGTTCACGTGCATGATGCAGGGCTTGAGCAGAGAGGGACTACCTGCCACGGCCGGTGCATTGAGGTCGCCGTGGAAGAAGGCGATGCACCAGAAGAGGAAGCCGAAGAAGAGCCAGGAGACCAGGAAGGCGGCGGAGAAGATCATCAGCATGTACCGCCAGCGCGTGTCCACACAGGTGGTGAAGATGTCGGCCATGTAGCGCTGGGATTTGTTGCTCAGGTTGGCAAAGTAAACGTTGCACTGGCCGTTCTTCTTCACGAAGCGGTTGCGGTGCTTCCGCCGGGGAGCGTGGCCCTTGCCATTCCGGCTGTGCCCGTTCATGCTGCCCAGCGTAGAGACCTTGTGCCCATCCTCCTCGGTGGAGACAATGCTGTACCTGGGAGCAGAAGAAACAGGCACTTCCATCAGGAATACACGAAGGGTAACAGCAACCACCGAGACAGCAAGGGCAGGAGGCGTGGGTGGTTCGCAGGGGAGCAGTACCACCCTGTTGGATCTCACAACAGCACGTGTCAGTGATTACTGCACCATGGTGCCAACCTGACCAAGCTGGTGGACATCCGCTGCAATGTCGCTGAGTGTTGCTGCCTGGAAAATGCATCTTGCAAGGTCCTGGCAGGGCAGCAAAGCAGCAGCAGCTTGTAGCTTGTGGTACCTTCCAGCCTTTATGGTGAGGAGGGATACAAGGTTTGAAACCTGACAGCAGCTGGGACAGCCAGGAAGCCTGGGAGCAAGCACCTGCAGCCTGACCATGTTTTGGCCCTCAGATAATACAAGGCTGGGAGTTTCTATTTTCTCCTCTGCTCTGCTCACTGATTTCATGGTGTGTGGTGACAATGTTTATACACTTCCTGCCTCAGGACAATTCTGTTGCCACAGCAACATGTGTGTCTTCCAGCATCTCTTACCCAAAGCCAAAGGTGTAATTTGGAAATCAACAGCCAAAGCACTGGCAGTTTCCTTGGCAGAAGCTACACACACATTTTCTGGGAGACCTTTCCCCCTTTGGCTCCCCTCCCTTAGAACACTGCCCCTCATGTGATCCCGTGACACTTGCAGTTACTCCTTAAAGATGTGATGGTAGACGGTGCTCTGACCACCGAGGAAACCAAGAGTGTGCATTGAAGCACAAAGACTGCTCTGCCCTCATGCCTGGTCAGCTGCAGCCTCACAGGACCCTGGGAGTCTCTCCATCCCACCCTGTGGTGTTGACATGTCAGCTGGAGTCCTCCAGAATGGGCCTCCATCTCACGGCAAGGACAGCACTGGTGGCTGGAGTTGTGATTCCTGGGAACATGTGGCTTCTGCAGTGCTGCTGGAATCTGAAATTTCTGGTCCAGCACCATGCAGTGCTTTGCTTCTCTTCCATAGTATTCCTCCAAGCACTACCCCTACATATGGCATGTTTTGGGTTGGAGGAGGAGAGAGCGGTCATTCCTTGGAACAGGAAAGCTGCTGACAGGTAATTTGAGAAGAATATATCAAAAGGCAGTCTGAATTTAGGGTCTGAGGGGCCAGATGAGCAGCCGGGTCACTCAGGGCAGCAGCAGGTCTCGAGAGGAGGTTACTCACCGATTGACCCGGACGCTGCCCATGGCTCGCTCGGTCATCAGGTGTCAGGGGGCCGTGGGAGCTGCCAGGCCGTGGGAGCTCATGCAGCAGCACTCACGTGGGACTGGGCAGCTCCAGGTTTCACCTGTGGCGAGCTGGGACCAGTACGGCCATTGCGATTGCTCCTGGGCACGCGCCTGGCAGGGAAGGACAAAGCAAAACCCGGTCAGATCCCATCCCCCCTGGCAGCAGCCAATGGAGCGGCGGGCACAGGCTCCCAGCCTTTTGCTCAGGGTGCCTTGGGAGATGTCCCTGGGACACCTGCTCCAGCCTGGCTCGGGCAGGTGAGGAGCTGATGGTGCAGACTGGGTGCACAGCCCGCAGGTGAGGAGCTGGTGGTGCAGACTGGGTGCACAGCCCGCAGACCCCGCGCTCCCCAGCCAGCAGAGGAGCAGGGCTGGCCGGTCACCGCTCTCCAGACCAAGGGCACAGCAGCTGAGCCGCTCACAGGGCCCTTGCCCTGAGCTATTATATTAATATCAGAGCTTACACCGGGGCAAGAGCTCAGCCAGGCTAAATACCTCTCACACAAGGACTAACAAAGCACAGGAATGCACAGCAGCCCTCAGGGATCCCCGTCAGCCCAGCCTCACCCTGAGGGAATTTTTTCCAGGGTGTGCAGAACACCCTGTTTCAAATAAAAGAAGGGAAGCAATGGGTAGAGCCCAAAGGAGCTGACGGAAAGGAAGGGCTCAGGGGTAGCCAAAGAGAAGCCAGTTAGAGGAAACAAACCTTGCGACATGCCCTGTGTACAGCATCCAAGGAGCAGCTCAGCAGCAGAGTCCTGGGAGGATGTCCAGCAGATGTCCCAACCCAGTCCTCCCAGAATGGAAGGATGGTGAAGCCAAAGACTCAAGAGCCAACCTATTCCACCTGCCCAGAGCTGCTGGGAAGGGAAATGCACTGAGGGGGTAATGACTCACAGATTAGGAAGGGCTTTGTACACCCATGCTAATCCTGCACTGTAGCCTTTGGATTACAGCAGCCAGTGCTGAGTGTGGATGCAGACAGCCAGCTAATCTATTTCCTCCCAGCCTTGCCAATGAACAGCCACTGGTTGCCAGATATGGCAAAAAATACAAGGATTTTGGGATCGAATGTAAGGCTTAGAGCAGCTTGCAAGTGGTTGTGCATGGACAGGAGAGAGGAACAGCAAATGACGTTGCCTAGGATGGAAAAGCTGTGAGAACCATCCTTGTCCCATCATCAGTGCCCCAGAATGGGGCTGCACGTGGCCAGAGGTGCCCACCAGCTTTGCCCAGTTAGGACCAGAGCTGGAGAGCAGCAAGAAGGGAGCTCCAGATATCACCTCTGATGGGATGAAGACTACCCAGTTGCTGAGGCAGTTACAGCTCTGCAGCAATGCAAATATGGGTGTTCAGACCAAGGGTATTATGAGACCAGTAGAAGAAAACAACCTTGTAATTCACAACTCACCACATAGAGAAAAAAGGGAACAGCTGCCCAAAAATCCCCATCAGGAAAAAGCACTTTGACACTGAACTCTGCCAGCTCCCCCCACCTCACTGCCCTGCAACGTCCAAGTCTTCATGAAGTTGGTTTGGCCAGGAATTTTTGCTGTCCAGATGGGTAAACCTATAGCAGACCCTGGGGCTGGTAACCTAAGTTAATCAGAAATGTTGATGTGATGGAGAGAGGTCACTTCATACCCACAGATGGTCCTGCTGGGATGAAGCTGACCAGAGCCATTGCATGTTGAGTTCAGACTGTAGGGTCCCACATGGCTTTGGGAGATGGCAAAGGTGGGCAGTTTAGGTACAACCGTCTGTGCCAGCCCCAGCCAGGAGAGGAAAGACATCCTCTTCAACTGGTGTCATTCTCAGCCAGCCTGGATATGCCAAGCTCATCCTTAGCCTGCACTGACCTCGATAACTCAGGGAAGGCCCTGTCACAGCTCACACATATGAGTAATTCACAATTTCCTGGAAGTTTCTACAACCAACAACTCTCTTTCTCCAGCTGCAGAAACAGGTGCACCATTTCTAGAGATTTTGGATTTCTGGCCCCGGCAGCAGCCAGCTCCAAAAGAAAGGGAGGAGGACCCAAGGCCCTCTGTGAAACCGTGCGCAGCAACACCTGGATCTCTGCTCCTCACCTTTCCCCCCTTCCCAAAAAGGGGCAAAGGACAAAGATGAAATACAAGGACTTTGTTCATCTCCAGTTCAGGCTGGTACAGCTATGGGGTGGGATGAGCACACTGTGTAAGAGCACTGCATCCTGTGCTTCCTCCTGGCTCCCACATGGAAGCTCATGTCAGCCGGGGCTGTGGCAGAGCCTCTTGCAGAGTCCACCAAGGCTGGACCGCGCAGCTCAGAGCCTGAGCAGCCTTTGCTGCTGGCTCCAAAGTGCCCAAACAGAGTATCAGCAGCTAAAGTCACACCAGTACCTGCAATTGGTACCTAACCACAAGGAAAGTATTTCCGTAAAGGATGAAGGCTACCAGTCTGAGCACACACATTTGACAGTGGCAAAGTAAATGCTTTTATTTGCAGTAAATGGTTACAACTGGAGAACGATGGCCTCGGACCATGCACGGATCCATGGAACTCACACAGAATTGCACTCATAGATCTTTCTTTGCTTAAAATTTGAGAATTTTTCTGGTGGATTCGAGGACCTCAGTAACAATGGGCAGCATTTCTGAGGCAGGAACTACCTGAGGGAGGCATCTTTGCCCATTATGAGCTCGTGGGGGTTTTGCCTGGTGAAGTCTAAGTTCTGTTTCACTGCTTCTAGACCAGTCTGTTCTCAGGTTTTCATTCCCCAGCTTGCATCTCTCCAGCTCTCCTTCGAGAATAAAGATCTTCTGCTTCAGCCTCTCCATGTTTGTTTCGGCATTCAGAGCCCGCTGGGTCATTATCTGAAGATGACATTCAGTCTCCTGGACTAAGGATTGGAGCTCTTGGACTTCCCTCTCCCGCTCAGCCTGGCTGGCCTTCAGCTGATCCTGCAGGCTCGCCACCATGCACACCTGTCTCTTCAAGTTGTTCTGGAAGGTCTGGAACATTCTCCTGACCATGACATTGTCCTTCCTGAGTGCATCATTCTCACCCCCGAGCCTGTCATACTGCTCCCTGAGCACGTTGTATTCCTCCCTGAGCACCACGTCCTCGGCCATGAACACAGCCCTGTCCTTCGTGATCTCTTTGAATGCCTGCCTGAGTGTGAAGTTCTCCGCTGCGAGCATGATGTTGGCGCTCCTGAACATTTCGTTCTCCGACCTGAGCATGCTGTTCTCCTGCCACAGCAAGTCGTACGCTGGCTGCAGGGACAGGGACTGTCTGTCCTCACCATCCTCGCTGTCCCCCCTGTGCAGCACATGGGGCTCCGCTCCCGTGGTGCTCTCTGGGTGTCCCACAAAATGGTCACTGGCATGGGCCTGTGTGGCAGCAGCCTCTGTCCCCAGGTGCTGGCCTGAGCTGTGCTGGAAAGAGTCATGGAAGCCACTTGGGGCTGTACCGGCCTTTTGGGGGGCAGGCAACCTCTGATGCGCAGGAAGGTGGTAGGTTGGGCTGGGCTCATCATCTCCATCCAATCTGCCAGACATTCCCATGTCTTTGTAAAATGGTTCCTGAAGCTCCTGATCTTCCTTCTCAAGCTCCACCGCATGCTTGGCCAACCCCACCTGTTTATCTTTCACCATGTAAGAATCCCCAGGAGTTACGAAAAATGTGGGTTCTCCCAGATCCTCTGTTTTATTTTCATCTGTGCTGTCGCTGCTCTTGCACAAGGGTGAAGGAACGTCAGAATGGCAGGAGTTCCCTGATTCTTTGCTGTCATCATCATCACCATCATTGTCATCATCACCTTGCAAACCTTGAGATTCTGGGTAGACCATCATCATTAGCCCAAAGATGCGAAATGGCTTCAACATTTTTCAGGATGCTCTCAGCTGCAGTAAGCAGGAGAATCCAAATTGTGTTCCTGGAGTGCAGGCCATGCAGGCTGTTGACACTGACAGGTAGCGTGCCACCTTCTGCAGCTTCAGCAGTGCTTGTTGTGGCCACCAAAATCCCTCTGTTCAGAACACCAGGATCAGGAGATGTTCAGGAGGGAGAGGAGAGCCACAAACCTCTGGCTCTGGGGACACCTGGAACCACCAACATTCCAAGGTCTGTGATGTCATCAAGTTCCATGTGTGCTGAGTTGTCAGAAGCAGGGGAGGGGGAGGAAGCAATCAACTGCTGTCCTGATTCTATCTAGGACTGCGTTAACTTTCTTCATAGTAGCCAGCACAGTGTTGGACTTAGTATGAGAATAATGCTGATAACACGGACTTGTCGGAGCTGTTGTTAAGTAGTGGCTTACTCCAAGACAAGGATTTTTCTTTTCTGTTGCTCATGTTCTGCCACTGAGGAGCTGCACAGGAATCCAGGAGGGAGCATGGCCAGAACAGCTGGTGCAAACTAGCCAGAGGGGATATTCCATGCCACAGAATATCATGCCCAGAATATAACTGGGGGATTTAACTGGAAGGGGCTGATGAATGCCTGGGGACGTGCCGGGCATCCGTCACTGGGTGGTGAGTAATGGGGTTGTGCATCACGTGTTTCTCTTGGATCCTGTTATTCTCTCTCTCTGTGCTTATTATTACTATTACTGTTTTATTATTATTATTATTATTATTATTGTTATTATTGTTGTTACTATTATTACTGATAATAATATTAATATTATTAACATATTTATTATTGTTATATTTTGTTTCAATTATTAAATTGCTCTTATTTCAACCCACAAAGTTTACCTTTTCTTTTTGATTCCCCTCCCCACTGTGGATGGGGGCAGTGAGAGGGAGAGAGGGGCTGAGTGACAGTTAAGTTCCCTGCTGGGGTTAAACCACAGCAGCTGCAAAAGGTGATTTTGGCAGCATGAGGATAAGCTGTCCTCCTGGTGTAGAGCTGACCCCAGCCTGGGGATGCTGCCAGTGAGCAGCTCATGAAGCCACCTGAGATCCCCAGCGTAAAGGAGGGACAGGGACAATCCAGCCTGGGCAGGCAGCATGGCCCAGAGGGGACAGCCCCGTCCCACAGGGTACAGAGGCATCTCCAGCAGCAAGGCCAAGCCCCTGGCACTTGGCTGGGGCTGACCCTGGTCAGGGACAGGAGACATCAGC